GAGGGCCTAAGCTAAGTGCTCGTACATTCTACACAAGCAAGAGATGACAAAAATAAGAAATTAAGCACACTTATCAATGTAATTAGTGAATAATTGGAGCCCAATCTTCCACTAATCTCTCCTCATGAATGATGCTCATAAGTAGAATCAATGTTTAAAATTTCACAAGAAGATCGCCAAAATTAATGGATTTAATAATATATGTAATTTTAAAATAATTTAAAATACCAATAAATATATAGATTTTAGAAAATAATGTAATCAAATATAATTCAATTTAAATGAATACATAAATGGGTGGGAGACCCACTAACCACCTGAGCAAGGCTTCAAAAAGATTTCAAAATAATTTTGTAATTTCAAAATATTTAACGTATTATTTAATTTAAATAATAGCTAAATAATAAAAGTAAATAAATAATACAGAAAACAAGTCAGAATAATAAATTTTCAAATATGAAAATATTTTTAAATAAAAGTGCATAATATTTTAAAATTTTAGAGGTATAATTCTGAAAAATCTGATTTAAAGTGAAATAATTATGAATTTTTAAAGTTTAAGGGTAATTAAAAGTAATTTTAAAATAATTTAAAATAATTACCATTTGAAAATAATTATTAAGCTAAGTTAAAGTAAGTGTTAAAGTGCGTGAATTTAAATAATTAATATAATTATTTTAACAGAAGAAAAGGAAAAATGACTCGGGCAGACACGTGGCAAGGCTGGATTGGCCTCTTCAAAACGTGCGGCGGCGGGCCAATCATTGGCGATGATTGCGTAGCGGCGCAATCATCACCTCATGATTGGAAGGACGCTGGGCCCTTCTCATTTTTACTTAAACGAGTCAGCATAGGGTATCCACCGTTCGATCTCGCGCAGTATTGGATTTACAGTTGAGATTGAGTTTGATAGGATCTCGATTCAACTGAAGGCTTCCGCGGTCAGACGAACGTGCGAAAAAGCTGAATCTTGACCGTTGATCGCAAGATCAACGGTCTGAATCTCCTATAGCTCAAACCAATGCGATCTGAAACACTGGAAACAAAAAATGCTTCGTTCTCTCGATCTACCCAATAGATTTTTACAAAATTTTAAACATAGGATCTACGAGTGAACAGAAATAATGGGGAAGTGTTCTTTTGGCCTAAAAGCTGCTTTTCAGAAAGCTATTTAATCCTAAGTGTAGTGACCTAGGTTAAGGGTTTTAAGGAAATCTAACCGTTGGATCTTCGAGATCTTGACACGGTTGAGCTTGTAGATTGTCCTCGTACAAATCTCTAGTTGAAGTTGCGATCAAACAAGCTATGGATCGTCGGGAAATTGCCTTGGAATATCTCAAGTCTTGGTTGGCTAGAAATCTTGCAGTCGGCGGGGTATGGGCGGCATTTTTGGCTTGGGAAATGTGGAGTGGGGTGGGGAGAGCTCACAAATGGGAAATCTCGGGCTAGGAGGCTCTCAGGAGAGTGTAATTGCAAGAAGTGCCCCTTTATTAAACCCTAAACACCTTATTTATACCCCTAACCCTTGGATTAATGGCTAGGATTCAATCAAGAGTGAATTAGGAGGGAATTAGGTTGATTTGGTCAGGGCTTAGGACCAAGGGAGCAATAGCAATGGATTCAATGCATTAAGAAGGGTTTAAATTGAGTTAAATGGGTCGATTTGACCAAAGAGAGACTTGGGTTGACCAAGTCAAGGGTTGACTTAGTCAACCTATTCAAAGAAGTCCAATGTATGAAGGTTTGGGCCTAGAATGGGTTTAAATGGGTTTGAAATCAAATAAAAGTGATTTAGGTCAATTTGGGTCAACCCAAGTTGACCTAGTCAACCAGGTTGACCCAGGTCATGTGTCTGGGCTCAACAGACTCAGTTTGACCCACTGAATTGATTCAGAGGGGGTCTTGGGGTCTGACCTGGTCAATTTGACCAGGTCAACCCTTTGACCAAGAGTTTGGAGAAAAAAAAGGTGAACAAGGTGTTGCCTAGGCTATCAGCTTGGCTTTCTTAGTCAATAATAACTAAACTGAACATTGAGCCATACTCATCATCTTGATATTCACACCCAAAGCAGGAGTCTAATTTATCTTCATCCTCTACAATATTGAACTATTCATCAACCAAATCGATAGATAGCATGAAGCGAAGGGGTTGAATTTACATAAATGCATGTTGAAAATTATAAAGAGATTAATCTATTTGCATAATTTAAATTCAGAACATACTATGGGGGAACTATTTCATTAACTTGCTTATATATGCTAATAGGTTAAGCTCAAAAAGCACATGATGTTTATCAAGATAGTTAAATATTATTATGGAAAATCCAATAACTACATCTCGATGGTGAGGACTTTGACATAAATTGGTGTTGACCGATAACTATCAACCGGCACATCCCCACTAACCATGTTCAATCCCAACCGAACATAACTCCCTCTCAAAGTAATAAGAACCTCAACCAAATTGGCTCTCACCAGATCCCTGCATTAAATACTCATACCCACACTCACCCACGTACACATCCATACATAATGGGTATGGATACGCCTATAACCTCATGGGTGGATATGTGTGGGTACTTAATATCAAGGGATAAACTGATTTACATTGCAAATCATATGTTGTACATTACTGCAATCCTCACTACGTAGTGCGCACACTGAATCATGATGTGACCATGATAAATTCTAATATGCAGCTTGAAAGCTTGCAGTCAGAGCAAAGGGAAACAAGCCTCAAGGCCATCAGTCTGTGAAAGGCTGCGTTCAAAAAGCATGAAAAGTGGGTGGGAATGAATGGGTATTACATCTCGAAAGTAATCATGGGTGGGCAAGCCCACTTGCGCAAAACTTGATTGAATACCTAATCAGGACCCTATGTATGGATTTAACTCCCATCCATTTGAACTCTCATATAGATTCCTCCCTCTCGATTCCTTCGTACTAGGGCTGTCAATAATTGACATGACACAAAAACCCGACTCGAACACGACCCAGAATTTTCAGGTTGGACATGACCCGTTTGAAAAATGGGTCGGGTTCGAGTTCATAAAAGTGACCCGGATGAAGTTTTGGGTCGGGTAACCGACCCGTTTCGACCCGCGCATCTATTTTACCCAGCGGAGCGGGATTACTTAGGGTTTACGCCTTTACGGATCTGATTCGTCATTCACATTTCACGCGGTGGTAAATATCCAGCTCTCCTCTCCTTCGCTGCTTTGTCTAGGGTTTCTAAAGTACCATTTCTTCTCTACAGATCTCCTCGATCTGTCGACGTAGGGCCGTCAATAATTGACACGACATGAAAACCCGACTAAAACACGACCCAGAATTTTTGGGTTGGACACGACCCGTTTGAAAAATGGGCCGGGTTCGGGTTCATAAAAGTGACCCGGATGAAGTTTCGGGTTGGGTCCGGGTTTACCTGATAACCCGTTAACAGGCCCGTTTCGACCCGCGCATCTATTTTATGCGGCGGAACAGCAGAGCGGGATTATTTAGGGTTTACGCCTTTACATATCCTATTCGTCATTCACATTTCATGCGGTGGTAAATATCCAGCTCTCCTCTCCTTTGCTGCTTCATCTAGGGTTTCCGAAGTTCCGTTTCTTCTCTATAGATCTCCTCGATCTGTCAACGGTTTTCTCTCTTCTCCTTCTCTGGCATATTCTTGTTCAGTTTCTGCTGTTTTTTTCTGTTCGCTTACTGCTGTTATTTCTGTGCAAACGAGCCATGTCGAGCTCTATGTTCTGGTATTTCTGTGCAGTTTCTGTTGTTATTTCTATGCAAACGAGCCAGGTCGAGCTCTATGTTCTGGTATTTCTGTGCAATTTCTGCTATTATTTCTGTGCAGTTTTTACTGTTATTTCTTTGAAGTTACTGCTATTTTTTCTGTTCAGTTACTGCTTCTTGTTGACACCCATATACTTCTAGTTATTTTGATGAGTTGTTGTTCAACAACACATTAAGCATTGAAGTGATTTGCTGGTTTGGTTGTAATTGGCAGTTATTTGGCTGTTATTAGTTATTACTGATTATGAGTAACAAGCCTTCAACCCATTAAGTATTGAAGTCATACTTCTTTTTAGTGTAGGATGGTTGGCTTGGGCATTTATTTGGCCGTTATAAAGTCTCAATGTGTTATGTGTATTTTTTTTTTAAAGAAATTTAACAAATACTAATTTTTTTTGTTAGATAGAGGATTCCAATATTTTGTATAATTTGTATATTATAATCAGCAAATTGCTTTTGATTCCTAAATAAAATTTTTATTTATGCAAATTTGTGTTTATAATTTTCTGGGTTGCTGGTTTGAAATTTCTGTTTAAAATTTTTATTTATGCAAATGTCTCGGGTCAGCGGGTCATTCCGGGTTGACCCGAACCCGACCCGAATATTGACCCGTTTCCATAACCGGGTTTGGTTCGGGTGAACCCATTTATCTTCGGGTCATGTCGGGTTCTTGTCGAACCCGACCCGTAACCCAATTTTGACACCCCTACTTCGTAGGTTGAAACTCATGCACTAGAGCCGCTCTCCCTCTCATGTCTATGTGGCGAACATAGGATGAGCCACTCGACTCCCAACCTCTCATCTCTGATTCACTCCTGTACGATCCAAGTAAGAAATTATTCAAGTTGTAAATCCAAAATTCATTAAAAAAAATGATTGAATCTTTTTTTAAATATAAATTTTGACAAACTTATTTGTATGAGCTATAAACATATTTTGAAGATCTTGTATTAATGTAAAAATATCAAATTCATTATTTGTTGATTTCAAAATATTTGTTGAGATATTTTATTAAATTAAGATATTTAATAATATTATAAGACCATGTAATAAATTCCATCATGTGATCTATGTTATATTTGTTCTCTTCACCTTATTTAGGCTTTCATTTGGGATAATTTTCTTACTGTTGCTTAAAAAAATGTTTTATTATAAAAATTAAATTTTAATACTAAAAATTTACTTTAAGAAACAATAAAAAAGCCGTCTCAAATGAAGCTCTAATTTATGCTCAAATTTTGATTACTATTTTAACATAGTATTTAACAAGAACATCAAACTAAACCAAGAAGCCTTGCTTCACAAAGCACACAATACATTTCATGACATAGCTTTTCTTATAAATAATTCACAAACCATTAACAAGCTCCACAACCTAAATAAGACAACATGACAAAAAAACGCCCTAAATATCTACTCTCGCTTCAGAACTCACTTGCCTTACACACTGTACAAACATTCTGATATTGTAATGGTTATGACCTTTTGCATGCAGAAACTTGTTGATATCACCTTGGCCCAGAGAGCTCCATTGCTTGGACTATCAAAGATGAATCATCAGTGAGGTCTGAGTACCGTTCCGAGGAAGATAGCTCTGGCATCTTGAACTTGGGCTGATCAAGCCTTTGAGAGGCCTCCCATCTCTCAGCAAGTCCATCACCTTCAAGCATTCGAACGACTTCTGACATCTTTGGCCTGTGGCTAGGAAGGTATTGAGTGCAGAGTAGAGCCACCTGGATCATCTCTTCCAGGTCTATTCGATCATAGCTTCCCCTCAGAGCCTTATCAACCAACAAGTCAAGCTTCTTCTCTTGATGGATCTTTTTCACCTGGAAAGATGAGAATATAGTAATTAAGCAAAATCATAATTGGAAGGAACCATTCATGCAAATGCAACTTCCCTAAATGTTTCTTGTAGAAATAATAGAGTCAACATGGTTCTATGTTAGCATACGAAACTAGCATGAAACAAAGTATTTAACAAAATTCTACAACCAACAAAAGTAAAGTTTGATACAACAAAATTATTATTCATAAAAAAAAAATCAAGTATAAAGGAAAATGGCTCAGCATAAGAACTACTAAGCAATAAGCTTAACCTTGTTATGTGAGATTTATTTTCTTTTATGCTTATATTTGTTATTGCATTTTAGATTTCAAGTGCTAACATATTGGTGCTAGTACAGGAAATCTAAAATGTAATTACCAAATGTCTACAAGTCACAAATCAGCAAAAGAAAAATAAATCATTTCACACAGGCCAAACACAAAGGGGATGTTTGGTAGCAGGATTTAGGCCAGATTTGAAATCTAGCCAAACGGCATAAAATACAAAACCAACAACTCGCAGCAAATGAAAGTCGACGTAGACGGAAAATTCCACATTTTTATTTCTGAAATTTTGTTTTTTGCCGAATTTACGAAATCTATTGACTCTAGAGGAAGAGTCAGCTACTTAAATCTGCTCAATAGCCAAACAATCACACTGGATTTAATAGAATTTATCATGAATATTATCAAACAGTTTCAGGATTTATGACCCTCAGGATTTCCAAAATTCGGATTTAGCGGATTTACGAAATTCTACTTAAATCAAATATTAAGTGCTACCAAACAGCTCCAAAGTGAATCTTACTAAGAACTTGGGCATCAATGTGTCATAGGCTTAACCTGACCATGCAACTACTCAAATGAAGTATTGCACATTACCCAGTCAAGCATGGCTCCCTTCTGGTTTGCAGACTTGCCAAATTCAAGAGCCGTCTGACCAGTTATCAACTCAAGAAGCAGGATTCCAAATCCAAAGACGTCAGTTTTTTCTGAAGACTGACCAGTAGAAAGGTATTCTGGAGCAATGTGGCCAACAGTGCCTCTGACGGCAGTAGTAACATGAGAATCCCTATGATCAAGAAGCTTTGCTAAGCCAAAGTCTCCAACTATGGCCTCACAGTAGTCATCAAGCAATATATTTGCAGCCTTCACATCTCTGTGAATTATCTTAGGATCACACTGCTCATGGAGGTATAGCAGTCCCCTAGCAGCTCCTAGCGCTATCCTCTTCCTAGTGCTCCAATCCACAGCTGGTTTTGCTACAAAGGAAAAAAGAATCATTTTTTAGCTTAGTAAAAAGTTTGTGATGTTGAGAAATACCATTACTACAAGAAAAATTATTTTACTATAATCGCTATTTATTCCTTGAATTAATAGGAACTTGTAACTTATCTACTTCAGGTAGTATCAACATATCACGTCTGTTGTCTGGAGATTTATTGTATTAAGAAAACTTAACCATAATCAAATTTGGGATATGATTTCCTGACATGACAAGATAGAAAGAATTATGTGATACATTTCTATCCCTTTAAAAAAATTTGTATTTGGATAGCCCTAAAGATCGAGAAATTATTACGTGCGGAGTCCGGATACGTCCTGACTCCAATAAAAACGTGACACGTGTCCTTGTATATAGTGTGTACAAACTTATATACATAATATACACTTTACGTCCAGACTCCGCACGTAATAATTTCTCCTAAAGATCTTGATTTCATAAACAATCAAAGCATATACCAAAAAATCATCATTTTTTACCTTTGAGTCTGGATGCAACACTCCCATTTGCCATGTAGGGATATACTAGAAGCCTTTCAGTAGCAGTCATGCAAAACCCATAGAGCCTGAGAAGATTTCGATGAACTGCTAAGCTTATCATCTCAACCTCAGTCTGAAATTGTTTCTCTCCTCCAGCAGCATTACCATCCTTAAGCCTCTTAACAGCGACTAAGCACCCATCAGGCAGCTGGCCTTTGTAAACATTCCCAAAGCCACCTTTCCCCAATATGTTCTTGCAGCTGAAGTTATCGGTTGCAACCTGAAGCTCTCTGAACTGAAATCTCTTCAGGTTTCCGAGGCAAACTTCATCATTTTGTTGGTCTGTTGATTAAAAGAATATTTTTAGTATTCTTTTGAAAAGGATTTTATGAGTGTAAAGATCTGTCAAGTTTTACTGACCATTGACATCTAGAAAGATCTGCTGATGGTGCCTCTGCCTCCACCAAATGAACATCCCAAAACCGAAGACAAGTAAAAAAAGGCATCCAATGCTGGTTCCCAATGCAAGAGCAAGCTTGTGACTCTTAGGTCTGTCTAGGCATGGATTTCCTTCAGTAATATTAAAATTTATGTCAGCCTTCAAGACTGTTTTTAAGGATTTTTATTTTATTTTGTTTTTTTTTTCAATAATATGAATCAATCATTAATAAGAGAAAAGAGGGAGTAAGGTAAGCTTGAATTATGGAGGTCAACCTTAGAGTCCAAAGGTTTTCGTTTGAGTAGATCTAAAATCGAATATATTGAGGGTAATTTTAGTAGCAATAGACCTAGTGAGGGGATTGTGACTTTGGGCGATCAAGTCATTAATAAAAGTACACGATTTAGATATCTTGGATCTATTGTTCATAGTGATGGTGAAATAGATAGGGATATTATCAATAAAATTCAAGTTGGATGGTTGAAGTGGAGGAATGCATCTGGCTTGTTGTGCGATAGAAAAGTCCCCCTCAAACTTAAGGGAAAATTCTATAAGATGATGGTGAGACTTGCAATGCTTTATGGTGCCGAATGTTGGTCATTAAAAGAGAAGCATAATACTAAGTTAAGTGTTGAAGATATGAGGATGCTTAGGTGGATGAGTGGCTTTACCCTTAGAGATGGGATACAAAATTAGCATATACGTGAAAAGGTTGGAGTAGATCCAGTGAAAGATGAGATTAGAGAGAGTCGCCTTAGATGGTTTGGTCACATTAAACGGAGGCCTTCCGATTTCTTATGTTAAGGAAGGTAGAGGTAGGATTTGGTTAAAATATATTAGAAATGATCTTTCTTTATTAGATTTAAATGAGAATTTGACTTTTAACAGGACACAATGAAGAAAAAGGATTCATGTAGTCGACCACACGTAGTGGGACAAAGGCTTGATGTTGTTGTTGTTCTTGTTGTATGCATCAATCATTCAATTGTTTCTCAACTCAAAATCTTAATCTTATAGACGGATTTTAAGGATGAATGTTAAAAAAGTAAATCAATATGAATGTAATTACGATTCATTTATTTGATTTGTTGATCGAATGGCGTGTAAACGAATAGTCAAGCTAGACTATGAAAGAGACTGGTAGTTGTAAAAATAAATTGATAAGTGACTAGATCAAAGACTTGGGGGTAGGGAACAACTAAGCAGTATGTAAGAACTAGTAGGGAACAACTAAGCAGTATGTAAGAACTAAATTCATGGAAAGTATACAATTGAAAGTTTTTGAAAGGTAGAGTTTTCTTCAGCGAGAAAACAAGTAAGTTCAGCAGCCAAAATTTCAGAAAGAAGTAGAAGATCAATAAGTTTTAAGAAACCATATAATTCCTTACAAAATATTGCTTGATATATAATGGAAATGCAAGGGAACAAGTATAAAAGTGATTACTTACCCTGTGAATTATTTCTGTTGATGGAAATAGGTATCAGCACAGTTCCATAGCATTCATTTTCTGAACCAGTTGCACAAACCAGAGGGTTTCCTACAATACTAGAGGATCCAAGAGGTGTAATTTTAGTTTTTCATCTTCAGAAAGATAACTACAGATCAAGCAAGAGAAACAACACTCAGTAAATAACAACAGAAACAATTGGAATCTCTTATATTATATCAAAATATTGAACAATATATAGTGGGCCAATTGAATGTTAGCTAGCCAAATTGAATAGACAAAAAAAATTCACAGGATATCCTAATACTTTTGTATAAAAATGAGTCTAATTTTATTACCAGTGATCATGAAATCATGAGATAACCTGCTCTTCCATCATTTCATATTTTTATATCACGCTTATACTTATGAATGTCTAATGATTTACTTGTATTTATTTTCAATCATGTAGACTAAGGCTCCGTTTGGGACCGCTTTCTTATTGCTTCCTAAAGCAGCTTTCTAGTACAAAAATTACTGGTTCCTAATTTAATTTTTGTACTAAAAAACTGCTTTATGAAGCAGTAAGAAAGCCGTCCCAAATGAAGTCTAAGAAAAATTCTTCTTTAGATTTCATGTAGCATGCTAAAACAAAATCTGAATGAACTTATCCAGCATGCCAACTAAATATCGCACTGTCAAATTTTATCTAGCTATTTAAAGTTAAACACACTAAGATTGAGTAAAAACAAAAAAGAACAAGATGTGGGGCTTCAAAAGGCATACTTGAAAGTCCTAGCTGAAAACTTCGGCACTGGGCCACTGAAATTATTGTAGGACAAGTCCCTGCAAAAATAAAAGTACATGACCCATTATTTCAGCTTTATAATTCCATTACAGGAAAGCAGTTCATTTATCACACAAGGCACGAGACTCACAGTAGAGCAAGCTCTGTAATATTGGCCAGGGAGAGAGGAAATGCTCCAGACAAGCTATTATTGTTAAGCCTCCTTGTTAAACAGCACCACCACCAAAAGGAATAAGATATAGAGCAAGCCAAAAACAGAAGTTCAACAGAAAGGTAATTATTATTTTAAAGAATCTAATGGCTTACAAGTATTGGAGGTTTCTCAATTGACCCACGGAGTTGGGTATTTCACCAGTGAAGTCATTATTGGAGAGATCAAGAGTTTGAAGCTTTGATAGCTTTACAATCTCAAGTGGGATTGGCCCTGTTATGTTGTTATTCTGCAGAAGCCTAGAAAAAAAATCACCAAGAATATGAAGGAAGTTAAGCAAAAAGAGCATTGATAATAAAAAGGTTGTCAACATTATTCAACTAACTTACACAGTTTGAAGATTAGTCAAGTTTCCAATTGTTGGAGAGAGAGTTCCGGATAAATTCTGACTAGGAGTTCCCCTAAAACAAAGCTCAGAAATTTTGCAACTATCAAATAAAAGATTCATCAAAAAGCGAAAGTAGAGAAGGATTAGATGAACTGACAGGCCAATTACTAAGTTTTCTGGAGAACAAGTGACCATGTTCCAGCTGCAAGGATCAACAGAGTCCTGATCCCAGTTCTCCAGCACATCATGAGGATCCTTTAGAGCGGATTTAATATCCATCAAAGCAAGAACTACACCAAAACACACAAACCATGAAAACTATTTCATTAACTACATAAGAACATCAAGGAGGGGAGATACAAAGACTCAAAAACCAACCTTCAGGGTTTACTCCCTTAGGGGATAGAAAGGCTAGTGAAGAAGAAGCACAGGAGCAGAGCAAAACCAAGAGAAGAACAAGGCTTGTTTTCTTTGATCCCATTGAAGCAAAGCCTCCAAAAGCAAAGAAACAATATAATAGAAATTAGAAATCACTCTCCTTTAATCCACTGACTGTCACAGCCTGCAGGGCTGGTCTAATGCAGTCATGTATTTCCCCTCTCTTTTTTTCTCCTCTCCTTGATTCTAGCAGGTAGTGGGAAGTAAATATGCAGCCTTCTTCAAAACTCTAATGTGTCAGTAGCCATGGCCAAAGCTATGAGGGTCCTCACTGCCTCCCCCTGCTGGCATGAAAAGAAGAAAAGAGTGACAGGAAAGTAGAAAACTCTCGTGCCTGCCACCCTGAGTTTAGACGGAAGAGAGATATAGAGACAGAGAAAGAAAAATATAGGTATTAAAAAACCCAAACATTGAGGTCCCTATACAGTAAGGAAAATCTCTGCTGCAATAAAAACAGTGAGAAAATTCTTTGGTGGGGGTGGTTCAAGCCTTCAAGGATTTGCTTTGGTTATTATTATTAATGGAATACAATTAAAGGAATATATATATGACATGTTTACTGATGTGAAATATCAAAATACTGAAAATAGTACTAAAAAAAATCTTAAAGCCTGGGGCTTTGGCAGTAAAGGCATTTTCTCTTAAGAAAGTTAAAGAAAGAGGCAAAGAATTCTACTTGAACATGATGAAATAAGGGTACGGCTGATAATATATTCAAATTTAAAATTTTTTTAATAATCATTAGATTTTTTTTTAACTGGATATCTACCTACTGTCATTCTTAAAAGAGTTCTTGTAAGCGTGATAAATTTTAGACTGACTAGAAAAAGCATCCACCTCAGAAACCTTCTGGTCCGTATTTGATTGGACTCTACTTAAGTCTTAAGAGATGTTATCGCTCGAGGAGAACCTAGCATGTGCTAGAGGTTTCCAACCGTACCCGCCAACCAATCAAACTAAACAAGAGTGGGTAATCATTAGAATTTTAAATGATTTGAAATAAAATGCTTTTATCCTCTCTTTTTTTTAAGTTAGCTCAAAATAAGTTGAAATAGACTCAATATTATTTAAATCACATTTTGAGTTAATATTGATCTAATTCAACTTAGAGCTACATTTTTCCAAGCTTAAGACATAAGAAAATTTTTATAAATAAATAAACATTTTATAGTTTATTCATATTACTCATCATATATTTTAATGAATTATTTGATTTGTTGAATAAATACAAGATAAAATATAATATAATATGCAAAAATGCAAAGAATATAATATATTTAAAATATTTCAAATTATCTAGATAGATATAAAATAAATATAATTATTTAGTTTGAAGTGAAATGAGTGAAACTTATAATTCCATGATGACAGTGGCTAATGACAATCAAACACAAATCTCAAAAAAAAAAAAAATCTTCACATAAAAATTTTATATGAGCAAAATTTCCATTATTTAAAACACCTTTATTACTGCATTAATTTTCATGCCACAATCATAAATTTAATTTATTACTGTTTTCTTGCTATTTTCAATATATTTTTTTGTTAAAAATTATTTTTTTAATATTATTCAATAATGTTATTTTTCTCACAATAATATTACAATCAATAGCATTTAAAACAGCTTCAATCATCCCAAACATATCCAAAATATTTTTTTTTTTTAACAGACCCAAAATATGTTCACTCAATATTACTAATTTTAGGTAATGAATTATTTAAAATAATAGATTATAATTTTGTTACCTGATAAAAAAATTGTAACGATAGAGTTGATGTATAATATATTAACTATTATCAAAATTTCAACACGCCTATAAAAAGTTGTAAGAGAAAAAAATTTAATGTATAAAAATCAGCCAGTGAAAAAATCGTGTTCATAAATTGACAGTAAAAATGCAACAATAGTGTTATGCCAAAAATTGTTTTGATCGAGCACGCATCTCGAAACATATTTAAGTTGGAAACTATCAAAATTAAATTCGGGACCATCTGAATTCCAATGTTAACAAACTTATAATCAACTAACATATCAAAAAGACGAACCTCCGTCGCTTGACAACCACTCGGTCATCAACCTACGTTGTGATTCCACCCTACCGTCGTTCGATCTTTCGCCAGACCGTCGACCGACACCAACTTTCCACTCGACCGACGACAGTCGTTGGGCCTCCTCTAATGACCAACCTTTGTTGGTCCTCCACCGGGCTACCAAGTATAGCCCCTCAACCTTCGTTGTCAGACAATGGTCTTTCCAGCCTCCATCACTCGTCGACTACGATCCTTCTTACCTTCGTCGCTCGCTGACTACTGCCCTTCTAACATCCATCGTTAGACAACAGTCTTTCTGACCACCGTCGTCCGCCAATCACGGTCCTTCCGACCTCCGTCGCCCACCGACTACGGTCCTTTCGACCTCCATCGCTCGCCGACTACGGTCCTTCCGACCTTCCTCACCCGCCAACTATGGTCCTGCCGACCAAACAAACAAATTAAATGTTTGTCCTTCCAATGTCCACTGTGTAATGCACTCTATATGATGTACATTTGCTACATCAGCCTAAGGCCTTCCCCCTAAGGAAGGACCTCAATTGTAATCGACTGCAAATAATAATGGATTCATTCAAATTGGGCCAAGCCCCGTAATTTTTCCCCATTTTCAGTAGTTTCCACGTAAAAACTCTAGTGTCTCTTATGAACGTTACACCCTCTCTTTTTATCTGTATGCGTGTTGAATCTTCGTACAATGCTAAGACGTTAAACCATATATTTCTCTACCGCTATGAATATTTCAGGATGCAAATAATGAGGTTAAATCTTGATAGGAGTTTGAAGATAGTTGTGTGATTGCTGGTGGTGATTATCGACAGTGATAGCGGAAAAATGTAAGAGAACTCGCTAGCTAATTCTCTTAGCTCTTGAACTTCTCCCCTTTGTAGAAAAATGAGCTCTATTTATAAGTTCTTTTATAAACATTTTGATAAATTTTGCTATAATCCAAAGCACTCCACCATGCAATTAATATTGATCTCCTTAATCTTAGACCGTTTATCAAACATTTTGCATGTCTTAACAATGTCAGACCAAGTGGTGTTAGGCTTATTAGATTCATATAATTGGGTTGAGATTCATATAATTGGGTTGCATGGTTTGATTATAATCATGCTTTAATTGGAACTCAATATGTCTATCAATTTATGCTCAAAATTTTCTAAATATAAATTAAGTGTTTGATTTGAGCTCATTTATAATCCAATCGAATCATTTGTAGCGTTGATATATAAGTTTGTCTCATCAAGACAATCAATTCTACTATAAATTTGAAAGTCCGTGTTCAGATTATTCTAAACTTAATTTCCATAATTTAAATATTACATTCTATTTGATTCAGATTGGAACAATTCTCTCATGTAATATGTTTATAGAATTAGTAAAATACAATATGTTGTATTATAGTATTTGTTATTACACTTTAAGATTTCATTTGGGACAATTTTTTTACTGTTTTTAAAATTAGTTTTAATTATTTTTAAAAGCAGTAAAAAAATTGTCCCAAACTAAGCCTAAATTACATAAGCTTAGCATGCAATTCATAAGCGAACAGAACGTTTCTCAAGGGAAGCCAAACAAAATGCATGTTAGCTTTTTTTTTTTCTTGAAAAGAAACAAGCGTGCAAGATAAAGCATTAGATGGCTTAGGAAAGAGAGAGAAAGAAGAGAGGGAAACTATTCTTTCGGGTTTGGAGAATCATTAAGATAGCAAATCCCAATTATTCTAAGCTGCTTAAGTGAGCGTTATGCCTCGAGAAGTGTGTTGGTGGCTCTGCCTGCCTTTGCTTTTTCTCCATGTTCCCTGCTTTTTTTTGTCTAAGTCATATTCTGTGCTTAAGGAACATCTATAATAACAGCACACTGCGTTTTATATCTACATATGCATGGCTTTTTCAGTACTTGTCTTTTCCTTGCTTTATTGATTCTCCCACCATATCTTTCATTTCAATAAAAAATTTTCTAAATTTATAATTTTTTTAGGGTTGTGAAATTCGGATCTAATCCAAAATTAGTAGATCCAATCTAAAACTGATATGTTATTGTAAATTGGTCAAATATTTCAACTCGGACCTGACTCGTGTGGGTTATGGGGTTGACCCGACCCGACCCACGGACACGATAACGGCAACAGCAGCTACAGCAGCTTAGCAACACTAGCAGCGGCGCGGCAACATGCAATAGTCACAGCATATGCAGACACATCACACACGACAACAGCAGCGGCAGCAACAGCAAATGCATGCATAAGCATTTTTGGGTTTTCGGTCAATCCGAACTGGACCTGATTTTTGAAACAGATCGATTTATTAAACACGAACCCGACTCGTTTCACAAAAGTTGATTCTAACATGAAATTTTTAGATCGGGTCAAAGTCGAATTTTTAGGTCATGTTAAATATTGACACCTCTAATTAATATTGTGAATATTTGCATGATTTTTTATAAAGATTATTATAAAACAAAGTTTGATAAAATAGTAGCATTACTAACATAAGCCTTCTCTCCCTCACTCAATCAGCCTTAGTTGAATCAAAATTTGAATCAAATTCAAATCAATTCTGAAGAGTACTGACTTCAATAAACAGTGTGAATACAATATGATAATTATTTATATCCAAAATGATTTTTTAAATATATTTCTATTAATTTTGTTTGTTAAAATTCATTCTAGAGAGAGAGATGGGGAAGAAAGGGTTAAAAATCAGCTTACAGATAATTTATAAAAAAAAAAATTTTGATTTTTTTCACGTGCTACTGACCCCACCAGCACGGAAAGCAATCTAGTGGAGAGGAGACTGAAGCGCATATTGGACAAAGACTATTAATCTAATTGGATAATATATTATTCAAGTAATTAAATTCTGCATGTAAATAATAAGTTCCACTACCGGCCCATGGAATTGTTCATACAAAGCCTTTTAAACGAGCCTTCTATTTCTGCTTTAGTTCTGATGGTTTTCATTTTTTTTAGATTTTAGCATTTTATTTTTATCATTTTTTTAAAATTTAAAGCATTTAATTTTTTTTAAAATATAAATATTTTGATAAACATTAACTATAGAAATAATGAAATATAATTGTTGCATTCGGTGGTAGGGCAGAGGTCTTGCAGTTGCGGATGAGCAGAGAGAGGTTGATGGCAATGGTGCTCGAGTGGAGATCCGAAATTCTTCAATCTTTAGAGCTCTCTTCAATATTTAGCACAGTCTATCTTCATGTAGGGAGTGTGGGCTTATTTATAGATTTTTGGAGCAACATATCTCGTAAATATAGAGAAAATATGAAGCAAATTTGAAACATTCTATCAGATGATACATATTGATTCCCTCGATTATATATTGTTTATTTAGCATTTAAGTGCATAAATGATATTAGAATCAAGAGATTTTAGATTCATAGATTCGTCTACGCTAGCAGCTCAATTCGATTATAAGCTTTTAAAAATTGAATATCATTTGGTTCTCCAATTACTGTCTAAAAGCTTTCAAATATGCTTCAGGCTCTTGATTTTGGCCTATTTAGGTTCGGATTAGATCAATGTTGATGTAGTTGGGTTTGTCTCATCGAGATATTCAGTTGGCTATAAGT